TTTTTCTGGTTGCTGTAGTCTGCAGTGTCTTTCGTGTTCTTTTATCCTGGTAAAGCCCGGAAGACCCACACCAGCCATCGTATGCCGGCCGTGAAAGCCTTCGACAGTACATAAAAATATTTGATTGATAGGATAGGTGAGCTCAGCCTTGAAGTGTGTCACCACCCAGAGTCGCTTTCTAATGAGATGGGTGGTGACAAATTTGATAAAGGAATAAATGAATGCATGCATGCAGGGTCTCCAGCAAGGTTTTTCTTGCACTGAGATACATTCATATCAAAAGGAAATCTATCTGTGACTATTAACTATTATAGCTAAAAAAATGCTACATACAAGGCATTCAATGGCTGAGTACACACACAGTTTTATGGGTTCACATAATAGATTGAACCATAATCAAGCAGGCTAGATTCATACAATATACTGCCTCAAAACAAGAAAACATAAATGCAAACCTAAAACCCCTTGCAACTAACTGAGGTTAAAACTGACCACACTTGGCATTTTGTATGAATGTGGATATTAAGTTTTTAACTGCCCTGGTTAAGCATTTGTGTGAACACAGCCAATCTCTGATGAGTATATTCTGAGGATATACGACATAGGAAAGCTAGTTTCTCTCAGAGCCATTTAAAAGGGTAATTTGATTATCATTTCCCCCAAAGACTATCTAAAACTGATTTTTAATTTTAAAATATTTGGGGGGGGGCAATAAATGTGGTTTGGTGCATCTTTGAGAACACTTGGAGCAGGCATAGTGAAAGATGTAAACAGGGTAAATTCTCAACTCCACATTATTAAACAACAATCAGAGCAAGGATTAATATGCTAAATTGTCTTTCAACAAAAAATGACCTATGAGTTTATACTATGACTTCCCACCAGCTGGCCAAGCCAAAATTCCTTATAGCACAATACAATTTTAGGCAGCATCAAAGAAGTAGTTTTCAAGCCATAGGAAGTATTGTTCAGATGCCATTTTAGGTATTGTGTCTGGTTCTGAGCACCCACTTTAAGAAGGATTCAGAGAAAACAGAACTGTTTCAGAGAAGGGCAAAGAAGATGCATGGGGATGGAAATAAGCATGTTGGCTGGGGAATTCTGGGAGATGAAGTCCACACATCTTCAAGTTGCCTAGAGAACAACACTGGCCTAGAGAAGAGAAGATTGAGGAGGGTGAGTGTGATATTATTCAAGTACCTGAAACAATGTCACGCAGAAGGCCAAAAATATTCTCTATCACATGGAATAGTGTGCAGAGCATGGAATAATGGTTTTAAGTTACAGGAAGGCCAATTCCACTTGAGTGTTAGAAAAAAGAATTCTAGTGGTGAGAGAAGCTTAAAAGTGGAGCTAATTTCCCAGGGAAGAGGTGAGCCCCTCTCTCCAGATATGTTCTGACAGATGCTACGCAGCATTGTCTGGGGATGTTTTAATTTGGATTCCTGCACTGAATAGAGGGTTAGACCTGATGGCCTAAACAGCTTTTCCGACTCTAAATTTCTACAAAATGTGTTTGTTGCTGTTGTTACTCACATCAATGTTACACGACCGATAGCGCTTTCGTTCCCCTAGACAGTATCTTCCTCCAATGGTTGGCCTTTTGAAAAAAAAGGGAAAGAACGCATGGTTACAGGCCCACAGTGCTATGCCAAGAGGCTGCCCCGGGTGTTGATAGCGGTCCGCTTACCTTGGACTGTCGCAATAGCGAGTGGATGAGGAGACACCTCCCCCGCAGGTCCGGCTGCACTCTCCCCATGATGACCAAGTGCCCCATGCTCCATCTACCCCTTCAGGCCGCATGCCAAAAGGTACGCATTCCCGCTTATAGCACCACTGAGTAGGGTGGGGGCAAGGTGGACAGAGAGAAGAATAGAAGCAGCATTGCAGATACCCAAAGTGGTTATTCATAACCCCACTGGTTTACCTATAGCCGAACAGTGTCTCTCAAACCTGGCAACTTTAAGATGTGTGGACTTCAACTCCCAGAATTCTCAACTCCCAGCATGGCTGGCTGGGGAATTCTGGGTGTTGAAGTCCACACATCTTAAAGTTGCCAGGTTTGAGAGACACTGGCCTTGAATATGCCAGCTGTCCTATTTTGTCCTTGACCAATGCCTTACCCCAGCTTCTTGAGGCTCCCAATTCTCATTGTTCTGAATAAAGGTCTGATTTATGAAGAAACATAATGAAGAAGCCATCTTATACTGGGTTAGACCATTTGGTACAGTGACTCATAGTACTAGGTGGAAGTATTCCCCTGGTCCCACCTTAGGTGAAATTGGGATCTTCTGCATGCAAAAACCAGATGCCCTATTAGTGAGCAATGAGCCTTTATTGTACTAGACAGATCAGTGTTTTTTTAGACTTGGCAACATGAAGATGTGTGGACTTCATGCTGGCTGGGGAATTCTGGGAGTTGAAATCCACATATCTTCAAGTTGCCAAGTTTGAAAAACAGTGAGTTAGATCCTTATCCAATTCTGATATCATGTTTTTTCCTTACCCCCTTTTCAATGGTGTTAGTCTGGCAAATGGTCCCTTCTGCAGCTGGAATGCTGTTGGTGATACACCGGTTGCTCTTGCTAAGACACCACAGCTCATTGCAAACTTCCTGGATGACAAACAAAGCTACAATTGGTGGAATGCAGGAGCAGGGAAACAGATCATGCCAAGAAGAGAAATGGGGTGGGATACAGAGATGGGTGAATCCCAGTTTTGATTTTGCTGAGTTTCTCATTTTTCCAGCCATAAAGTAATTTTGAGTCAATCATTTCAGCCTTGATTTATGCATGTTTTAAAAAAATTTCATGGAAGCTCATATGAATTTTTTTTTTTTTTGCACATTCTCCAAAGATCTTTTTGTGGGCAAGTTCTGCACATTTCCTGACTGTGAGAGCTATTAAACATGGAAAAGCCTACCTTCTGGAATTGTGGTGGTTCCATCACTAGAGGTTTTCAAGCAAAGGTTGGGCAGCCATTTCCCTCGGATGGTCTAAAGCAGTGTTTCTCAACCTTGGCAACTTTAAGATATGTGGACTTCAACTCCCAGAATTCCTCAGCCAGCAAAGCTGGCTAGTGAATTCTGGGAGTTGAGATCCACACATCTTAAAGTTGCCAAGGTTGAGAAACACTGGGCCAAAGATTCCTGCCCTGGGCAGGGGATTAGACTAGAAGACATCCAAGGTCCATCCCAATTCTAGGATTTATGATTTTATGATTCTACAGTATATGTAACTGAGTTTCTGTGTTGTTTTTTTCTCCTGCAGATTCAAACAAAAACATTTGCAGATTTGCTATCCACTAGGGACACTGAAATCATTACAAGGAATATGACTTTTTGGCTTCAAGGAATGCATCATCTCCTGCAACTCTTTATAAGCTGTCAGTCTGATAGGTACAAAAGCACATTACTACAACTGACCAGAAATGACCCAACACAGGGGCACCTAAATACAGGAAAGAGAGAAATGACTAGTAGCTTGAAAAGATGGCTGCCAATAGTTGTGGTTGATTACAGAAAGCCTGTCTTACAAAGACCAATGTTCTTGTCTAACTAATATTCCTTCCCTCCAACCCCTTGGGAATCAAGAGGAAAAGCAGGAAGGCTTCTCTACCCCATATTTACACTGGCGAGATTTTGTTCCGTACTGAAACCGGCACTGCTCATCTGCATCGTAGGCTTGTCCTGGAGCCACCGTTGGGTAGATGAAATCTTGCTTGGGTGGAGCGTTATTCAGGCAGAGTCCCATTCCAGAGCTAGAAGGAGAGTGAAGGAGCAAAGTTATTAATTGCGGGCGGGGAGGGGGGGACATCATAGCTTTGAGTGATGAGGAACATTTGATAATGAAGTAAGTCAGATCTTACTCCAGGAAGCTGGTTATATAATCTCTACTGCATGCTGACCACACAAAGGGGTTGGTCTTCATGGTAATATGAGCTGCCATGAGTTTAGCTGTCTCCCGTCCCCGGGATCCACAGCTATTTCCAACACCATCATGATTCATCCCAAACCTGGAAACAGCAAAAAGGAGAAACACCATGATTTTTACTTCTGGAATGGCCTTCCCTATATGCATAGTGTGGAACTTATGGAAATCAGATGCAGAAAAACTTTGAGTCATACAGCATGCAACGGAGAGACAAATGCTAAAGATGTCACTCAGGGATCAAACCAAAAATGAGGAAATTTGATGATGAAGTAACTTCAAAGATATCATAATTATAGCCTTAAAATAGAAGTATAAATGGGCAGGACACATTGTACGTTTACCTGACAATTGGTAGACACAAAAAGTGACATGGCAATGACTCTATAATTATACCCCCCCCCTCAAATGATCCTACAAGATGAAGAGATGGTCTATGAAAAGATGTTAGTCCCAACTGAAACACACAGCAAAAGACTGAACGGAAGGTAAGTATCTGCTGAACTTGTCCTTTTAAATATCAGCACTATCCAGATGAATACAACAATAAAGTGATAAAGTGAATGGCTTTCCCCAAAAGCCTGGAGGAATCTGAGCCCAGTGGAGAATGGAAACAAGGCCTGTGCAAGAGGGAATGGAAATTCACACATTTCATGACTCTAATTGGCCATCCCTAGTCTCACCACTATCATGGCATCAGCTCTTTCAAAGAGTGGTTACTGAGTGGTTAGGCTTTGTTGCACAACCTCCTTAACTCAGTTTCTGAGTTAACTCATTTTCTGGGTTCTCACAGTATTTGGTATCATAAACTAACTAAATGGGCTGGATCTCACAACATGCTATATCACCATGATGCTACGAAGATTAAAAATAGCCAACTTAAGCAAGTTGTGTACTGTAAATAAAGCTTCTCAGTTTTTAACTGCCTGATTAAGCATTATAGGTTTAGCTGGTAACTCAGAGGTTGCCCCCTTCCTTCAGTGTTTCCTTGGTTGAAACTTGATTGACACTATGCAATGTTATCATAGTTGTCTTTTCCTTCTATTGTGCAATTTCTGGCATGTATGTATGTGACTCATTTATATTGCAATATTCCTAGTAAAACTGACCCATGGCATTAAACAATTCCAAGACATAACAATCCAAAAACAGATAAAAACAAGACAGTATAAAATAGCAACATTATAAACCAATATAAAACAAAATGGGGGAGATTCACAACATCAAAAATAAATACAGGAAAAAAGGAGGAAAAAAATTGAGGTATTATGGTGTCAGCAACAGATTAATTGGCAGCAGAACCAATTAACCAAAACCAACAGCAGATTAATTGGCAGGGGCTGTTTGCATTTCACCACTAGTGATTTTTTGCATCTTCTAGAACAATGAGCACAGGTTTTATATCCCTTCAATGATTGGATGATGCTATGAAGTTGTTTGTTTGTGAGTACAGTAGTGGGGAAATGATCTGTTAGCAACTGACTTGACCATGACAGCAGGTCTGTGTAGGAAAAATAACACTGCAATTGCTTTGGGGAAGGTAATGTACAGAACCCTTTGGGGGGCAATCTGCTCTAGCCTTTGAATTGGAGAAGGAAGGTCTTCCCTAACGCCTGCAGAGTTATAACTAACAGAGATTCATTTTGTATTTATACTTCCTCCAGTTCCAAGCCAGATAAGGTTTATCCTACTTCAGTGCTTCACAGATCCTGAAGTAACAGCATCACACAGTGTTTTGATTTTTTATGAATTATATTAGGTAAACAAATAAACTCTATTTAACCCAGCAGCATTTGCCTGATATTCCTGATTCAATTCCAAATGACTCATCCAGGAGACAATGAATGGGCAAACAGACAAAAATGTCTGCAAGGTGTGGTCAAGAAGGAAGATGGTGGCCACAATGATTGAAGTTCTGCCCATTTTTTATGACCCTCTTGTCTTTTTTGACCACACCCTGAAGACAACTCTGCAAACAGGAGAAAGCTGGCATGGGCCATTTAGCTCCTTCTCAAGGTCATGTTGGCTCCAATGATCAGGAGACTCAGAAGGGATGGGTGTGTGGTTTAAATATATAGGGTGGCCAAATTAGGATTGTAAGAATCTGGGTGGCCAGTACATGACTGCAAAAACTGCAAACTGCAAAAACTCTTTTTACTACTAGCTAGCACAGTATTTTTCAAACTTGGCAACTTTAAGATGTATGGACTTCAACTCCCAGATTGCCCAAGCCAGGCTGGGGAATTCTGGGTGTTGAGGGCCACACATCTTAAAATTGCCAAGTTTGAAAAACACTGTGCTAGCAGTTGCTGAATTTTTGCAACCCAGATATAGCAACACTATCTAATTATCTCTCACAAGAGCTGAACAGGCATAGTGGAACATTAATGGAAAATTAATTTTCATGAAGCAATAAATGCCTCATAGCTGAACCTGGAAACCCAAGGAAGATGGAAACCTGAAATGGGTGAATTTAGCAGCATTAAGGTTGTTTGCTTATTCCACCACCCCAATAATAGTAGACTCACGTGTGGCCTATCTCATGAGCAATGGTGAAAGCTGTGGCCAAGCCGAGGTCCTCATTGATGCTGCAGCTTCTTTCACGTTCACACATCCCACCCACAGGGGCCAATCCTGGGAAAGACAAAACATTACTGTGGGGAGCAGAAGCCAAGTCTACCCACCGCATGGCTGTAGCTCCCTTCCCAATCCAATTTTTAATGGAGTTAATGATTTAAAAATGCTCATTAGTTAGCTCATCTGTTAGAGTCAAGCTAATAGACATCAGATGAAGAATTTAAAAACAGAAACAACACAATTTCTGTATTACTAATTATCAAGGCCATTGTATTGTATTGCTGCCCTCCACTCCCCATACCTGAGATTTCATCTACCTCAAGTTGCCACAGTGGACTACCTGTACTTCTCAGTTCACTACTTGAAATTAAGGTGGCAAATTTTGGGAGAGTCAACATTTTCATTCAGCCATCCTTTGCAAGCAATGGGTGAGGGTGGTTGTAGCTCTGCAAATGCACTAAACTACAAATCCCAGCAGCCCTACCCAATGTGGCCCCTGCATAACCCTCCTCCTTAGGCCATGCTACCACTATGTAAACATATTCCCAGGCCAGCCATATTTGGAAAAGAAACTAGGTTTAAAGTTGTCAGTAACAGGAAGACTAGGCTACCTACCTAACCGGTTGCGTTCACCCAACATGCTAAACGTTAAGTCAGATAAGCAAAATACAATTGCCTTAATCATATTATGGGCTATACCCTAACAAATAGCTTAACACAATATTCTGCATCAATCAACACATTAAGAAAATGGCCGAGGATTCCAGTGACACACTGAATCATATACTATGGATGCCTATGGGGTTGAGCAGAGACAAATGAGGAAAATGATGCAACTTACATACATCATGACACAACTAAGTTTTCATAATGACATCATGACGCACATATTGTCATGTTGACACTGTTATTTGTTATAGACGCTACTGCAAACCCCATTTTGGCCTAGTTACTGGGTTGTACAATCCCAGCCAAGGTGAATCTTTCTCCACTTCAAAAAATCAACATCCAAAAAATAATGCAGCCCACAATGATAAGCATATGATGGCAGATTTGCTACCTACCTAAAGTTCCACAGGGTTTGTTTTTGTAGATGCAAATATCATATCTAGAAGGAAGGGAGAGAGCAGAAGAAACAAAGGAAAATGCAATCTTAGGTCAGATTCCATTGCACTGATTAAGCTAGCTGTGGTTTCTGCAGGATCACTGCCCAGAAAATAATCACCCAACAAAGGAATCCACGAAAACACCACAGAGTGAGTGGGGTGTACAGAAAAATGTAATGCTAAATTTTGATGCTGATATTTGGATTTTCATCAGTGGCATGTTTACAACCATCTCCTGAATATAATATTTGAATAAAATTAAATTGGGCCCTGAAATTAACCATTGGACTGTTGGGATGGGTTAAAGGAAATTGGTTTAAATTGTTGCAGATCATCCACCATTATGTTGGTACATGATGGTTGTCCTATTATGGAAACTTCCACAAGGGTATAAGAAAGAGGCCTGATGAAGCATCCAAAATGGCAGAAAGACAAATTGTTTGCTTGCTTATTTTAGAACATTTATATGGCTGCCCAACTCCCAAACAGCAACCCTGGGCATCTTATATATGATTAAAAACATAAAAGCAGAGAAATTAATAACACACAAAATACCCAATACAGGATAACTGAGGCCAAAACCACAGCATATTCCAATTTGAAACCATTTCACGACAGGCTCATCCATTGCTTTGCCTGAGAGAAAAATGAGGTTTTCAGGGCCTTATGGAAAGCTAACAGGGTTGGGGCCATCTGAATCTTGGGGGGAAGGCTGTTCTAGAGGGCAGGCACTGTGACAGAGTAGGCATGCTCCCTAGGTCCCACTACATGACATTGTTTCAGGGAAGGGACCTGGAACATGCCCACCCTGCCAGTTCTCATGAGATCAGCAGCGGCAACTGGAGACCGGAAGTCCTGTAAATAACCTGGCCCTGTGCCATGAATGGCTTTATAGGTGATAAGCAGTACTTTGAATTGCACCTGGAAGCCTACTTGGAATCAGTGTAGCTTGTGAAGTAGTGGTGTTACATGGGTGTACCATGGTGCACTGATAACTACCTCTGCTGCTGCATTCTGGACCAATTGAAGCTTCCATACGGTCTTCAAGAGCAGTCCCATTATAGAGTACATTACGATAGTCGCAGTGGGAAGTAACCATTAGCGACTATGAGCAGGGCCACCGAATCTAGGAATGGGTGCATTTGGCACACCAGATGGATTTGTGCAAAGGCCTTCTTGGCCATGGTTGCTATCTGCTCTTCAAACTGGGGCCATGAGTTTAGAAGGACCTCCAAACTGTGCCCTGGTTGTGTCTGAGAGAGTGCAACTCCATCCAGCACTAAAGATGGAGAGTCCCCAGAACCAAAAATCCACAGCCCTTTTCCATTGTGTTTCCCTCAGAAACTGGGCTTCACATCTGGACTATCTCTGTACCTGGAGGTTCCATTTAACTCCAGTTAAGAACACAGCAAAAGCCCTGCTGAGTCTGACCAAAGACCCATCAAATTCAACATCTCACTTTCTTCTGTGACGAATCAGAAACTTCAGGGAGAAAAACAAACAGAACATGAAAGCAAGAGACTTTCCTATTCCTTTGCGAAACTACCTGTGAGAGGCAAAGACCTATTAATCCACAGGATTGAAAAGGTGGGTCCTGGAGAGGGATGCATTCCTGGGAATTCCATGGCCTTGCTCTGTGATGGCACAACCTCAGCTCAGGGTGATGGTAACTTGAACTTTCCCCTACTGCCCATTTAATGCTCTCCACCCCTCTGAGAGTCAGCAAAAAAAAGATACTGGCATGAAAGTTGCTGTCCTTATTGCTGATCCCTCTCCAGCCTCAATTGCCAGTCCCCTGATTTTCCTCCAAAGTAATGGGGAAGAGAGTTTAACAGATTTTACATATCTTGAGGCTGCCCTTGGACAATGTAGAAGGGGGGGAAACATTTCAGCCAAGGATGATTTAAGCCTGCCTTACTCATGGGTTAGGGATGAGATGAAGGCAATGTCATGGGGCTACAGCATGTTTACACCTTGGTTAGGGGCAAGGAGGAAAAAGCCCTAATCTCTGTTGAAGATCAAAGACAGATAGACATGAGATGGTATGTCAGGGATTCCCAACAGAAGCAAGAAAATTGTGAATAAATTTTCCTCTCCTGCACTGAGCCAGAAGGAGAGGGAGGAACTGACAGTCATGTCTTTACAGAGGGAAATGTACCCAAATAACTGTGGAAGAAGGAGAGAGACATACTATTCCAAAACCTGTGTGATTATAACATCTGTATTAATTGGAAGGGTAGAGAATTGCCACCAAGTTACTCCCTGCTCATCTTTTTTTCTTTGCCAACATGGGACTCAGGTGAGATTTCTCTTTTTTGCCAATTTAAAATTCATTATGTCTTATTTTCATTCTGATATGTTTTTTTCAAAAGAAATCTGCATGAAAATTCATAGGCATTACTGGCATTGCATTTCTCCAAAAGAGAGCTCCCGTACTGTACACCTCTTGGTATATAATTCTGAAAAGAAAACTGTGTTGCAAACTTCAGAGAAAGGCAGATTCTGTTTCAGTTCATGTAGTATTTTGGGAAATGCAAATTAGATAGGTTTCCTTTGAAAGCAAATTGAAAAATTGTTGTCCAACTTTGGCCACTGCAATTTCATTGCTGTCAATCAACCATCCTTGTAATTGCCCATAAGTCCTTCTTGCAAACAACACTCTCAAACTTAGCATCACTAGCAGTTATCAGTCCAGATGATAGCCCATCCTTTTTCCCTGAAACTTCACCCCATTTGATACCTCCCATTACTCCAAAAATGGCTTCCTAATTTGTGTGGCCTACAAATGGGGCATGAAAATGGACAAATTGGCTAAACCCTAATTATGTATGTTTCCTGGTGGTTCATCACTCACTAACATGTGTGCCTTTTGCAAAAACCAAACCAATCAACCCTTTCACCCTTCAAAAAAAAACCAAACTCCAAAGCACAGCAGGATGTTATCTGGATATGAGGAATTTATGAGACACAGAGAAGTTTTACAAGGCATCTGGGTTCTCGTCCAAGGCTTGGCTTTGTGAATAGGCCCCAGGGACCCAGTGGGAAGACCCATGAGCGATTGCTCAAGCGGTCATGTTGAAGGACAGGATGTTCCAAGTTAGCATACTTTTCTTCCCTTCCATGTCCTGCACATGTAGAATGAAGGGAGGCAAAAGAAAAGACATAGTTCCCCAGAAAGGCAAGAGAGAAACAGCGGTTACCTTGCGGGATTTCAGAGCTGACACGAGCCAGGCAGAGGAGTATTCCAGCAAACAGAAGGAAAGAAACATGAAGGTTTTATTTCATGAAAGTAAACTACAAGGATGAGAGGAAACTGTATTTCAACTCAAGCACTAATGGCTCTTCATCCCCATCCACTCCACCCCTGCCTCCCCACAACTTGGTTTTACCTGGTGATCAAAACGGCAGTATCATGGTTAGCTATGCCGTTGTCAGGAATGGCGTTCCCATCACTGCTGAGGCTCACAATAGCCTTCTGCCACTTGCAAAAGCTGTCGAGGGACTTCCCAGCATGATGGTTGATCTCCAGGGTTGGCTGGAGAAGATGACAGGTCAGACAGCCTGAACATAAATGATGCTAGGAGGAACTAGTCCGCTTGTGGATAATTTTTGGAGAACTTTCCTTGGCATCTTGACACATTCTTATTTGTCTTTTGTTGGAACATAAGATGGGGCCTTCTTTGCAACTGTACCTTGTTATTGGAACTCCCTTCCTGTTGACATTCTCCTCCCCCTCCCTCCCATATTCCTGCATTACCTCCTCACCCTTTCCCACATTGTTCAGGGTAGTCCCTGATTGTCCAGAAAGGCTTTTCTGGGGGATAACTTCCTGCATGGGTGAGGAAATTAAATGAGCCTTTCCTTCTAGGAGCTTTCTCATTCGTTGTATTGTCAAAGGCTTTCACGGCCGGAATACGATGGCTGGTGTGGGTCTTCCGGGCTGTGTGGCCGTGTCCTGGACGTTTTGTTTCCTAACTTTTCGCCAGCACCTGTGACCGGCATCTTCAGAGGGCAGGAGCACCGACAGGAGCAGTTCTGGGCACAGAGAGAACTGCTCCTGTCTGTGCTCCTGCCCTCTGAAGATGCCGGTCACAGATGCGGGTGAAACGTTCGGAAACAAAACGCCCAGGGAACG